CAAATGTCTGAAAGCCCTGAAGAAAGATGGGAAGACGACAATAACTAGCTCCTCAGTACCTCCGGCCGATCAGGACGTTCCTGATGAAGAATGACTGAGGGCCAAAGTTTGCGCCTCTGCTCCCTACTTTACTACACTGGTTAATTCTTGAATGTCTGTTAAAATCAGATTTGTCATTTATAAACATTTCTTTTTTTTATAATTTAAGCTGCCTTTATTGTTGGGTCTGACTGAACTATTGTGAAAATGCAGTCAGTCCCTCTCTGATTTAAAAAAATAAAAAATTGTGATGCGGTGCGCTGTGCCTCATCTTCTGCAGCAAGCAGTAATGTGATCTGAATGCTGCTCTGCCATTAACTTTATCTGAGTGCATACTGTATAGTGGATGGCCTTGTTTTATTTTTAGCCTCTGTCACGGATCACATGGAACAGATAATCAATGATAGGGGCCCAATCATAGATCAGTGCCGTGTTTACAGATGGAAACCTCCACTTCTGAGCTCATACCATGGTTTCTGCACCTCTACTTTTATTTTTTTGCAGCTTTTAAAAAGATAAAAGAAGAGATCTTTGCTTTCAAGTAAGAATCAGACTATCATCACACCCTAACTTTAAAAATTCAGCTTCCAGATGTTTTCCTACCTGCACGCTCAGGATACTTTCAGCAAAAGGAAGCTGCAGAAGATTCCCTTCTCAGCAGCCTGTGAAAGTGGGCTGGACTCTTCTAACCCTGTTGTATCAGCACATTTCTCCTCTTCCCAGCTGTACTGAAACATTAAAATGTAGTGGAAAAACACAGTGCGCTGTTGGAGCAGGTCGGTACAATGCAGCAGCTTGAAGAGGAGCTGGAGGGGTTGGAAAAGTTACAAACTATTTTTATGTGCACAGTGGTGCTCCTCTTCAGCAAGTAGAAAAAAAGATGCTTTACCACTGCTGCTGATATTGCAGCACTGCAGCAGGGATTGACAGAGCAGAGAAGTAATCAGTTTGAAATATAGTGGTAAGGTATTTTGATTCCTTGAAAAAATAAAAAGAAATGGGAAACAAAGCCCTTTATCCACCCACACTGAAAACATGCTACCTTCTGCTCAGTAGGAGTTTAAGCACCCCTGGGATTTTGCTACAAGACAAATTTCTCCTAATCTGCTCAGATTTTACTGGTGATTGAGTGATTGGTGCATAGTAGTTAGCAACGGCCTAATAATCTGCTTTACTTGATTGCCTATCACAACCTGACACTTGCTAAAAATGTCAAAGGCGTCTTTCAGACATGGATATCATTAAAAAGGGCAGTATTTGTTTTTACTCCAAAAGTTGAACTCTTATATTGGTCATACATAGAGTGAAATATTCATTTAATCTTATTATGACTAAGATATAATAAAGACAACATTCAATGTCTTGGAAAGTTAGTATATCTAAAGAACCGGGTGTTTTTACTTTAAAAATATTGATGGAGGAAGAACATAAAGGCCTGCCAAAAAAGAGAGGCTAGTCACCCAAGATGAAGCAAAAAGCTTTAATAAAATATATATAAATGTGTCACCCATCCATTTTCTGTCACGCTTATCCCAGCTGTCTACGGGCAAGCGGCGAGGTACACCCTGGACAGGTCGCCAGTCCATCGCAGGGCAACACAGGAAACCATTCACACTTAAGGAGAATTTAGAGTAGACAATAAACCTAACAGTCATGTTTTTGGATGGTGGGAGGAAGCCAGAGTACCCGGAGAGAACCCATACATGCTCAGGGAGAACATGCAAACTCCATGTAGAAAAAGCCGGGCCTCGAACCCAGATCTTCTTGTTGCAAGGCAGCAGTGCTACCCACTGCTCTATTATAATGTAATGTAAGGATATACCGAAAACATTTTTTTTTTTAGGATAAAGTATTTTTTATTTGAATTGGATCAAAGGTCTCGCTTTGAACTTTAAATGCAGAAAAACAGCAAATGTTAAGGTTAAAATTGTTAAAGAAGACACTGACTGGCCATCCAGAGAGATGACCCAGCATTTCATGGACTAAAGGAAGCTAATTGGTGAAGCATGAGAGCTCAGGCATCATGATATGGTGATGTTTCATGCTACTGGCATATTCCATATTGTAATATATATAGTGTAATATATCAGGGGGAAATCTATCACTGTAACACTCTACTAGTGTTTATATCTCATGTCTTACCATGTCAAAGGTTTACATAATTGTCCAAAAGTGGAACGTATAATAACTGAATAAAAAATAAAAACAACTACTTAATCTTTTGATTTGAACATTTAATTCGTAGGCATTTTATGCTTTCCATCTAAAAAAAAAACAAAAAAAAAACAGTTGCCTAGAAGTTAGTAAGGAATCAAAAAAATACAAAATAAAATCATAAACCTGTAATTATAAGACTGGAGCTCCTCTGAGTAACTCCCTTATATTCACGTTTAAATTAATTGGGAACAACATACTGAACAAAAATTCTAGTCAGACTGACTTAATTAGTTTCACTTTTTTTTCATCAAAACACCTGAGCTGCTTTGATGAGCTCAATGTGAAAAACAGCTGATCCCAGAGCAGACTGTTCTCTCATTCTGTTCCTCTGCTTGGTTTTGTGTGTCAAAGATACAGGTGAATCAAACATGTCAGAAAAACTTACTATTTGGTTGATAAAAGCTTGTTTAATTTTTTTTTCAGTTTGGTCCTCATAAAACAACAGAAGAAGATTAGGGCCACTGAAAAAAAATAAGTGAACTGATTTTTAAATATTATTACAGTTTAATATGGGAAAGAAGTCAGAATTCTGACTGTAATCTCAGAATTCTGACTTTTTCTCAGAGTTCTGACTTTTCTTAGAATTCTGACTCTAATCTCAGAATTCTGACTTTTTTTTCTCAGTATTCTGACTTTAATCTCAGAATTCTGATTTTTTTTCCTCAGAATTCTGACTTTAATCTCATAATTCCGATTTTTTTCTCAGAATTCTGACTTTTATTCCCTCAAAATTCTGACCCTAATCTCAGAATTTTGGATCTTAATGTAAATGGGCACCATGAAGGAAGAGATATGGGAGCACTCAGCTTCACTGACAAAGATGTGAGTTGTTTGGGAGGGTCAGTGAGACATTGGTGGAAAATTAAGGAATTGGGGGACTTTTTATGTGCCTGAGGGGTCCCTGGTGATGCTATTTCATTAATGGAGGAGCAGAAGGTGATTAAAACGAGAGCTAGTCTCTAAAACAGACTTGGCTACAGCATGCTGCTAACATGTTTGTTAGCAGTCAGAATTCTGAGATTAAAGTCAGAATTTGGACTTTAATGTCAGAATTCTGACTTTTTTCCCTTATTAAACTGAAATAAAATTTAAAAAAATCGGTTAACTTTTTTTTCAGTGGCCCTAATCTTCATCCATACAAAACAAAACAGATCAAAGCCCTATTTAATTTTACTACATAAGAACTAAAATATTTTTATGTACCTCTTGCAACGCATTCGCGGACCACTAGGGGTATGAGTACCCCTCGTTTGGAATCACTACTACAGGTTATGGGAACCACATAGTGATACTAAACCTGCCGTTTCTGGGGCATAAAGAATATTTGCAAAAACTTGTGAAGCTTGTGAACATAGCAGTTAGAAGAATTAATCAATGTCTTAGAAAATTGAAAGAATGTTATGGTTTACATACAACTTAGATTTTTTATAACAAATCCAGACAAGCTGTTTTAATCTCATTTTCATCTTGTGTTAAGATTTATTGACAATAAATAAAAATGACTGTTTCCTTTTGAACACAATGTTCAAAACCAATTCAAAGGTATTTAAATAAAAGTTACAAAGAGGCCTGGGCTTTACTCGCAGTTTTGCGATGCTATTGAACACTATGCGTACAGTAGAGCTTTTGTGTTGATGCACTATAAGGACGTTGCGTGGGTTTAACCTGCATTTTGATGAGTAACTGTTCTTTCGCCAGCATGCCCTCAACCTTGAACAACGTGACAAAATATATCTCTCCTCTTTTCGAGTTAATATTCCAGTCTACGTCCACAGATAATGGAACATAGAACCGTTTATGTACAGTGTTTATGTGCAGAGGCTCAGTGTATAGAGAACAGGCGCTGTCCATGGTGCTGCGGCAGCTGTAGCGCCTCAGAGCTCCACTGTTTCTCTATGCTGTCCAATATTTACTGCTTCCATTACTCTAATTAGCCGGTTTCAATCATGCGCACGTGATTAATGTGCCGCTATGTTGTTGATATGCCGGTTTGATTTTAGTTGTGTCAGAATTTACCAAGGAAGCCTTATCAACAATGCAGTAAATATATTTTATTTTAAGTCTAATAGGTGTTAACCATATTAATAACTTTTAATCCTTAAATAAAAACGAAACAGAATCCAGTGAGAATGGTTTAGGTACATGTGGTTGTTTAACCAACAGTAACAAGTCGGGAAACCGCCCACCCCCCCTCAGAAAGCATTCACAGAGGGGAAACTGCAGCTGATTTGCTGATGTCAGGCAGCCAGTGCAGCATTTCATGGTGCAGGGTGGAAACGCACGGTGCCATCTGCCTTGATCCGACCTCTCAACAAATATCAACAGATATAAACATCTTTTCTCTAACAAATATTTAAGGGGGGAAAAAAACGAGCTAACAAAAAAACTTACACATGCGAGCCAGACAGAGAAGATGCCGCCAGCTCTCAGGATTTGGGCTCTGCTGTGTGTGTCGCTGTGCAGCCTGTGTCAACCGGCTCTTCTGAAAAAGGCTTTCCGATGTCCTTCAACATGCAGCTGCTCCAAGGAGTCCATCATATGCGTCGGATCCTCCAACATCCCGAGGATTGCCCCCAACGAGATCACTTCGTTGTAAGTAAAACACTATGCGTGTTATTTTATTTTATTTTTACATATTTTTAATAACTAATTTAATTCCCTGTAGAAGGGGACGCTTTGAATGGATATATAGGCTATTTAAAACCCACATAGACTGATTACACTCTATGAATTTTTATTTTTTTTTTTAGATTTATTCATTAATTAAATAGATCTTTGTTTGCTTGTTTCATCCAGGAGTATCGTCAATGGGACTTTCTCTGAGGTCAGAGAGGCGATGTTTGCCCACATGCCTACCCTTCAGCTACTGTAAGAATCTGTTTGTTCAATACCTCTCAGACTGCATTTAATCTCGCAGTAAGTGCTCTATATGAGCTTAAAAAATCCTTTTGCAACTGAGGCGAATGTGACACATGCAGTATACAGTAAATCTACATCACAGCTTACTTGTGTCTAACTTTGAGGGGAAATGCTGTAATACATTTTAAAGATTCCATCAAGGAAAGCTATTAAACAGCTGAACACCTTAAGATGAATAAGGAAAACTCTCCTGTGAGCATTTAGAACAGCCTCATTTGAAGGAGCTGCTTTTAAGGGAACATTAATCTAAGCTGTTATTCGACTTCATTGACAGCTTTGATGTCAGCATAAACAAAGGTGAAACAAATGCAAAGCTTTCCTGGTTTGAGGCAATTACAGGCACAAGTTTAGACACACAAATCTTTATTCTGTCATGTTTTGTCAGTCTTACTGACAGAATTGGTCATGCTAATTTAAATTGGTTTTGCAAATCAGTGTCTGTTAAAAAAGTAATTTCTCTGCGTAGCTTTCAGCTGGGTAAAGGTAAAAGTTTTGTCTAAAAAAATATCAACAGCTATGATCATACTCACTAGGGCTGAAGGAGCAATTGCATTTGCAAAAAATTTAATAAAATTATCCAAATAACAGCAGTACTCAATGTTTGGTCTTGTTGAATTTAACCAAAATAAAACAGAAATGTTTTAACTGAAACTCTTTAGATGGTAGTAATATGCTAAAAGTGGGTTTGTGGTAGTAATATGCTAAAAGTGGGTTTGTTACAACACATAATGGAAGGGAGAATATTAACCAATATGCAGATGCTTTTACTTTTCTATCTTGCAATCAAGTTGTGCGATGATGGACTCTAGACAAAAGGGAATTCAAGGTCATGTAAACAACCAACAACTAGTACAGAAGAAAATCACAATAAAATTACAATTTGGGTTAAAAAAAAACTCACAACTTTGATCTAAAAAAATTGGACAGCCCTAATTATCAGCAACGCATGGATAATAAGTTAAAATACATTCTAGAGCAGAGAACCATACTTTGAAAAAGAATTAAGACCCTGAATGCATTGAAACCTGCATGTATAGTTTTGACCGTTTGTGGATTTGAGATAATCTACATTAATGTCAGCAAAAAAAAAAAGTCCGGGGAACAGCTGAAATAAATCAATAGAACTTGAGATTCTTTACAATGATCATGCCTAAAATAAGTAATATTAAATGTCTGAGTAAACCTGAATGTTTAGTCAGGTGTGTCCATTGACATTAATATATCACAGAGGAAAATCCACTTTCTCTTCAGCTTCTCGGTTTTTTGTTTTGTTTTATTGATTTTTCCTTTATACCAAAACAAAGGTTTTCTTGAAATTTTATTGTTAAAATCACAATACTGTTAATAAAAATCTATTCATCAAATGAGTTTGTATTTAGTTTCTAAATAAATTGCACCAAAACCTTTGTTTAAGTTTTAATCAAGTGTTTTTTTTTTATGACTGGTCTCATGTGTTATCATTCCAGACTTTTGAACTCTAACTCTCTGACAACTGTAAGAGATGACGCTTTCTCAGGCCTTCCACATTTGGAGTACCTGTAAGTACCTGTTTTTTTTTTTAGAAATAAAATGAAAAATATTCTATAATTTTCCAACCATCTTAGAACCATGTGCTACTATGTTTTGATACTTCACTTTAATTCAATACTAATTAAGTATATAGGAAATCAAGATTTTTCAGGGCACTTTAAGAGTAATAATGCTAAAAAACATTGTCCCTCTAATGAAAATGCTCACATCTTTTAGTATTATTATTATTAATCCACAGATTCATTGAGAGCAACAAGTTGGAGACTACATCAAAATATGCCTTCAGAGGACTCAGGGACCTGACTCACTTGTATGTACCTAAATCAATCAAAAATGTTTTGTTTTTGTTACATTTTCTCCCGACATTTGGTGTGTATTCCGTCACTGGGCTTGTTTTCCAGGTCATTGGCAAACAACAACATTAAATTCTTACCCAGGGATGTTTTCATTGACCTGGACTCACTGATCGAGCTGTAAGTTCACTAGAAGTTTTAAAATGCTGTTAGAAGTTATTGCATGGCTGTTCTATCAGTTTATTTTTCAGAAGTGACTCACATTGGTTCTGCTCTGCAGGGACTTGAGAGGCAATGCCTTTGAGTGCGACTGCAGAGCCAAGTGGCTCATGATGTGGCTGAAAAGCACTAACGCCACGGTGTCGGATGTTGTGTGTGCCGGGCCGGAGGACATGAAGGGCAAGCGCCTCAATGACATGAACAGCCTGCACAACGAGTGCACCTCGACAGGTTAGAACAGTGTCGGTCAGCTTTGCAGTGTAATTTTAGAAAAAAAACATATTCCCACTAATGATCTCGGGACGCCTTTCCACAGATTTTGTCGTTCATCAATCTGTGGCCTCTGAGTCCCTGTCTGTTGATACGTTCAGCTTCAAAAATGATGTCTATGTCACTATTGCTGCTCCCAGCATAGACAGCTGTATGGTTTTACAATGGGACCACATTGAAATGAACTTCAGGACATACGATAATATCACTGGTAAGAAAATTCCTTTACCCTTCATCCATCAAGTCCAAAGCTTTATGGTTTTTCCCACAGCAAAACATTTTTTTCCTATACTACTAAATAAACACTGAGATATTAAGCTTGGCCTATTCTTAAAGGTATATCGGAGGATGATATTTTTCCGGGTGGATCATCAAAATAAGTAGTCCTCCTAATTGTCAATCATTCTGGTGATATGTTTACGTAAGGCCATCATACGTGCTAGTCCCCTTCTTCACTTACCGGTGATAAGTCTGACATAGAGGAAGAATCCCAAATCTTCTATTGGACAATAAGCTTGTATAAGCAATGAAAACAGCAACTTTTAAACAGAGCGTGCACAAGGGAAATGGGCTCGTGCATGCTCTCGCACGGGTTTAATGGGTGTTACTCCACGGGAGCGGGTACAGGGTACATTATTTTTTGAAAGTGGAGAGGGCGGGTCCTTTAAAAAATTTATTAAAATCCTCCAATATACCTTTAAACATCAAGAAAGAAGGAAGAGCTACAGAGCTCTTAGTTAAGCAGTTAGCTTTAGCTTAAGGGTCAAAGGAATTTGATCAACACTAGAAGAGCACCCAGTTAGTTAATGCCTCAGTTGAGTTTAATCATTGAATGTCTCATGTTCCTCTGTTTGCAGGTCAGTCCATTGTTGGCTGCAAGGCAGTTATCATCCAGGATGAGGTTTACGTCATCGTGGCTCAGCTGTTTGGTGGTTCCCACATTTACAAGTTTGACGATGACCAAAGCAGGTTCAACAAGTTCCAGGACACAGAGGTGTCCAAGATCTCCAAGCCCAATGACATCGAAGCATTTCAGATCGGATCAGACTGGTTCTTTGTCATTGCCGACAGCTCTAAAGCGGGCTTGTCGACGCTCTACAAGTGGAACGAAAATGGTTTCTACTCATACCAGTCCCTGCACGAGTGGTTCCGTGACACGGATGCAGAGTTCTTGAACTTAGACGGAAAGGCTCATCTGATCTTAGCCAGTCGCTCACAGGTTCCGGTGATCTACCAGTGGAGTCGGAGCAACCAGCAGTTCATCCTACAAGGTGATATCCCGAACATGGAGGACGTAGTAGCTGTGAAACACTTCAGGATCAAAGAGGAGCTCTACCTTGCCATGACCCGCTACATCGGCGACTCCAAGGTCCTAAAATGGGGACCCAAACAATTTGCTGAGATCCAGGCTGTACCATCCAGAGGCTCTATGATCCTACAGCCATTCTCCTTCAAGGAACGCTACTACCTGGCTTTGGGAAGTGACTATACATTCTCGCAAATCTACCTGTGGGATGATGGCGAGAAAATCTTTGAGCGCTTCAAGGAGGTCTACATCCAGGCTCCGCGCTCTTTCACTGTGGTCTCAACCGATCGCAGGGACTTCATATTTTCCTCCAGCTTTAAGGGGAACACACAGATCTTGGAACACATTATTATTGACCTGACACTGTGAGAGGCTGTGCCTTATTGTCTCTCCTACAGTCAAAAGTCTTCCCATCTGAAAAAAAAAAAAAACATAAACAAGACTTTCTAGATGGGCAAATTCCAATAATGCATTTATAGCTATGACTTAAAAAATAGATCAGGTGTTGGCTTAAATCTTCCTAAACAGATGCTCATCTGAATAGCTTCATGAGCTAAAGGAGCTCCAAGAATGTTTATGTTTGCTCATAATTTGCCAGTGAGAGCACAGTAGACATGTGCCTCATTCTTCATGTCTTCATGGCCTGTGATATATTACGCCCTTTTCAGAGGAGAATTTCAGTGTTTTCATGGACTTGCAGTGCCTCCTCCTGGTTGTTATGGAGTATCACACCCTGCTTCCCTTAAAGGAAGTCTCTTGAAAGCACAAACCTTTAAGTATCATAGCTGAGATCTTAGAATGTAGCTGAATTTTGGAAATGTTAAAGTAGGTGCTATTGAGTGTAATATACATGGCAAGACAATAGAAAATTATAATAAATGTTTGTTTTCAGAAGTAAAAAGTTAAATACTTAGTTCAGGGTATATCAGATTTTCACCTCAGATACATTTGCTTGGATGGAGGTTTCTCATTTTGTTTCAACTTTAGATCACAGGTAGATTTTGTGTTGATCAGGTAAATGTAACATAATTGCAATTTTGAAAAATGAAAAGTTCCTTGTTAGTCAGGTAAAGTTTTCTGAGTATCAAAATAAAAAGAAAATTGTAAATATATTTACTGAGACATAAAGCCTTTCTCTCTTCTCTTCCTAAAAAAAAAAAGAATGCTGACCTCTTCTCAAGTGTACATATAATCGTGACTGCAATGCCACAACCAGTTCTTAACAGTTCTTTGCACTTACTAACAAAAAAACAATTGTTCCTGTAGCCTGCAACAGCATGACTTAAAAAAGTAAAAAAAAAGAAATGATTTATTTTTTGGAAAAAAACTGACAAAGTCTTTAAGTGCTTCTAATAGGGTGAATGTCACAGCAAGTAAAAAAAAAAAAAGAAATATGCAAGCTTTATACTTATTTTGTAAGATCTAGAAGCGTAATGAATGTTTATGTTAAAAACTGATGTACATTCATTCATTTGAGTATCAAAAATAAATGTGAGAAATATGCTTGTAAACATGTCTTATCATTCACTGATCTAAAACTGAAAAAAAAAAAATAATAATAATAATAATAATAATAATGATAAACAGACCAAAAAAGTTTCTGGCTACTTCTAATTTCTTTTATGGAGAAGTATTATCTGACATATGAATGCATGAATAAATTGAATGAATACATTTATTTAACACATTTTATAGTAAATTCAAATGAAATGAAGTATGACAGAGTTGACCAAAGTTTTCTGTAGATCCATCAACAAGATTTGTAATCAGTGAAGCTGCTGAAGGACCCAGATGCACATTAAACAGGCTTTAATTTTGAAATTCCATATCAGATCTTTATTGCTTTTAGTGAGAAGCCTCTAAGGGTGTACTACAATATTACCAGGAAACAAAGTTTCAGTTTAACAACCATTGAAACTCAGGTAAAATAAATGGGTATTCTGAAATAAAGAGCATTGAATCAATAAAGTAAAACAGTAATACTCATTTTATTTTGAAAAACACAAGCCAGCGTTGCTACCGTATTTCATAGTGTATGCGTTCCCGACAAAAAGCCAGTGAAGGTTGGCTTGACGGTCGCTTCCGAAGTGGAGGCTTGCTTGTTTTCATTACCGGTTTCCAGATCTGTCCGGAGCTGTAAGAATTGTAAGTTTTTACAGTCATAAACAAACGTGTGTTAAATTATGATATGTTTTCCTGACGAGAAATTATGTTTTTTTCCCTTATGTTTCAGAATATTATGCAGTTGTAACAGTAACAGCATTAGTAGGTCGGTTTTTAAAGTTTGAAGGTGTGGTGCTGTACTCTTACTTCCTGGTACAGTAAATACGTAGGCAATCGGGCAAAGCACTAAACTTACTCACTTTAAGGATTCGTTTCTTTGTTTTGAGTCAGTGCAAGCAAAGAGGCAAACCAGGAGAGAAAAATGCCCAACAAAAACTATCTGCAGAGAGACTCTGTCAAATATGTGAAAGTTACAAGTATATAAAGTAGTTTCGGCATCTGATGCAACATGCTTTTCTTAGCATCATGAAAGAGAAGAATAGAAAAACAGAGTTTAGAAAGGGAGAGTGAAAAGTAATAAGCAGAGACAGATAGTTACTTGTCAAATTAATCAATGACATTTTCTTGAATGTTTAGGGGGAAATAGTACTTTTGGGAATCATTTTACATCAATGTGGGGGGAGTAATGAATCTGTAACTCCATTAGTCCCTATGGCAGCCAACAAATAGAAGTCATATCATTCTTTTAGTATTTAGCCACCCCATTTTGACCCAAGGGTAAAAGTTGTTTTGTACTTTTAAAATTACAAATTATAACTTTTATTTGAAAATAGCCCTGCAGCTTTACATCCAAAAAATGTGTGTACACTTCCTCAACTGTGTAATTTCAAAGCAGCAAACCTAATACAGTTGGATAAGCAATGGCTGACACGTTTTGGGTGTTATTGTTATTAATAACAAAAAAATATAAGTCATAGTGTTAAAATGTTTTCTTATCACTCTCTCACATACACTTAATGGGGTCATAGAATGATTATATAGGGTATTTGGTGCTGGTGCTTAAGGTCTCTGAATAGGGTGTGTAACATTGGTTGGGCTGAAAATGACATATTTGCTTTTCTATGAGCCCTAATGCAGGCCTGGTTAAAAGCCCTAGAATGAAATGACAGGTTTTCTTCTTTTTATGATATGCTCATGAATATTTAGATGAGCTGATTGCATCATAGCAACAAGCACTTACTCACTGGAACATTTAAATTTTTGATATGGTAGGGTGACCAGACATTCTCTTTTTCCTGGATGTGTCCTACTTTTCATACCTAAAAAAATTTCTAAACTCGTCCAGGAATTTGGTCGTCTACAGTGCAGCACGTAGTTGGAACACACCGGGCACTCGAACCGAGCCGTCAACTCGGGGCTGGTCCGGGAACCCTGGCGGATGGGGGCAAGGGGCAGCGGGGGACAGAGTGACCAAACCAGACCCGGTAACGGTAGCCCGGACACAGTCGGCTCCATGTTTCCCCCTGCCTGCCGCCTCTCATCCGGCTGAGGACGGGCGGCTCATGGCTCTCTGTTGAGGTCCGGGCCAGTGAACCAGTGCGCTGGTCTGTATGTCAATTTTGGGGTGTGACAAAAGTACAGGCCAGAACCAAATAAGGCAACATCCCCGAATTGACGTCAACTCGGGGCTGCATTTGGATTTGTCCGTTTTAATATTGGAAGTTCAGAATTCTGATATTTGCAGAAGAAGAGGTGTTGATGGGGTTTGAACTTCTCTGTGCATTTCACCCACTGAACTATCGTTATTCATCTATGACAATCTAAACTTGGTTTTGCATTCTATGACCCCTTTAACTAAGTTCAACAGAGGGGAAACATGAGTAGATGGAGTGTTTCTTCTGTAGTTCATTATGATTTAGATGCCCATGTATACAACTTATGCCACACAACAGATTTCAACAGCCCAGGAGAATGACATGATATGTTTTGAATTTATCTGATTTGCAACTGACATAGAAGCACCCTGGGGGATGGGCCTCCACTTCCTTTATAACAGCCATGCTGCAAATACAGGTCGCCATAGCACAATCAGAGTTATAGATTGCTGGACAGGTGTCAGATTGCCCCAGATTTTGACTTGGTAGTTGTCTTGACTTGGGTGAAAGGGAAATTGTACTCATACAAGTACTCATCTCTGTACCCGTAAAAAAAAAAAGTAGGTAAAAGGAAACAGCAGGGTAGAATGAAAAAAGCTGCTTATAACTGAATATCAGGTTTTACCATCTAGTTTTCTTCTGGCTGTTTTTTTTATTTGTTTTATTTCCATTGCTACTTTTATACAGTTTCTGTTTTATTTTGAAAATCCTATCATGCCTTCTCTTTGTGTTCACATTTCTTAATGTGTCTTCTGCACAAAGAGCAAAGACAAAACAGACCCAGACACCTTTGAACTTAAATTAATCTTTTGGCAGACATTATGAATTCTGCACATGTTTTTTTTTATTAATTTAAGACTTCAAAATAAACTCTGAATGTTTAAAAATGATGTCTGTTCTTTGCAGGTTATCTGGAACAGACAAATGGATGGGAATATCCAGCAGGTCCCACAAATATCTCCACTCACGCATGGTGTAATACAATGTATTGAAGAAAACAATCTAGACAAGCTTATAAAGATACTGCATGACCCTATAAACGCACTTTATCCCTACAGTCAACTAGATGATTACGTAACCCCACTGACAGCTGCTGTAGTAAACCATAACTTAGGTTTATCTACATACCTTCTGGAACAGAATGCAAACCCAAATCTTACTTCTTCAAATGGCTGGACACCTTTGCATTATGTCTCAATATCTGAAGCTCCAATTAGCATTGTAGAAAAACTTCTTAAAGCGGGGGCAGATCCAAATGGGTGGGGCCCCAGCGATCATCAGATCTTTACTCCGCTGCAACTTGCAGCCATTTATTACAGGGAAGATGTTGTTGAAATGCTACTTTCGGCTGAAGCAAAGGTAACCCTAATACCTGCATCAGTTACTGACAGTTTGAACAAGAACAAAAAGATAGCTCAGACTATATACAATTTGGGATTGAAAGGAAATGAGTTTTGCTCCAAAATCTGTCATTTCTTGGGTATGACAATAGCTGTTCGAGAGGGACCACCAGAGAAAGTTTTCCGTACCTTTCATGATCAGATGTTACTGGAACATCCTTACAGCCGTTTGACCCTGATTGAAGTGCTGTTTAATGTTACTGGGCGAGGTGCAGAAGAATACAAAGAGAGAAGTATTGGTTGGCTTACAGAAAACAGTCATTTAAACAGCTACATAACAAGTACCGTCAGTCGTTTGCAAGGAATCCCAAAGGTGGCGGTGAAAAGTGCAGTTGATACCTTGAATGCAGTTTTCCACAAAGTGTACGACATAACAAATGATCAAGGAAAGGCCATTCTTTCCACACTCCTGCACCAACTTCAGTTGAAGGACAGACAGACAACATCATGGGAGGCTGTTCTTGAAAGAGAGGAAAGACATGAAACTTGGGAAGCTGTTCTCCTATCCATTTATGAGTTGACACAGAAAACAAAGGCCATCAACAGCTGGGAATCTGAGTTTATGGAAACACTGTGCAAGACAGTTTCCCCTTTTGTACATGAGAAGTACACCTACGATATCAGAACCTACGCTTATGGCATATTTGCAAACTTGCCCTCAGCAAAGTTTTCTATATATGGCCTGATAACCTCAGTACCTGATGAAATAATAAGACATGCAGACAAGAAAAGAAATGCTAAGCTAAAAGAAGGACTAAAAGGTCTGAAAAATTACTTGAACAACCCAATTTCTGAAGGCAATGGACATGCTTTTATGGTTAAATCTAAAAAGAAGAAGAAGAGACAGACAAAAAACTTGGAAAAGGAAAACCCTAACTGTGGTGACTATACAACGGCTGGTGATGCAACAATGGCTTCTTTATTGAAACCAGTCTCAAATCTACCACTAATTGAGGACAGTCCCACTAAAGCATCACCAGGAAGAAAATGGTTTCAAACCAGCAAAAGGTGGAATGATAAGCTTAAAAAACTGGCTAGCATCGATGAAACTAAAGTGACAAGAGTACAAAGCATTATTTATGCCAATGATGAAGAATTTCACATTGCAAAGGGGAGTGATGGTACTGAAGTGTTCCTGGGACTGAGAGATGATGGCACAGAAGTTGCAATTAAAAGAATGTCTAAAAGTAACTATAAAACTCTGAAAAATGAGGAGGGAATCCTTCGACTGCCAGAGCTAGATCATTCTGCTATTGTACGATATGTTGATCATGCAGAGGATGACAACTTTGGATATCTTGCTCTCCAGCTTTGCGAGTACACTTTAGAGGAACTAATCATAAAT